CTCTCTCTGTCTCTCTCCCTCTCTCCCTCTCTCTGTGTCCCTGCAGGAGTAAGTCCTTCGTGTTCTGTGCTCTTTACGCCGCCCTGGTGTTGGTGGGGCAGAACTACATGAGGCCTCGTCCCAGACTGAACCTGCGGCTGCCGCTCGTCCTCTGGTCGCTCAGCCTCGCTCTCTTCAGGTGAGTGACGTCACCTCTTCTCATTTTAGTGCGTGAGCACCGGATGTACTGGGGGGTGGAGACCACAGTGTGATTGACAGCTAGTGCATTCCAATGGCTGCAGGTGTATGTGGGTGTGTCCTTGAGCTCTGTCAGACTCCACCCCCTGCTCTTCCAAATATGGTTACTTCTGGTTTCAAAAATCCCAGTGAGCGATTACATCACCTGTGATCAGGTCTGACATCATCAACGACCAATCGGCTGCTGATCAGCTGTGACGCTGTGTTCAGGTGTCGTTATACAGGTCGTAACTCGGAGAATCACAAAAAATAAACATTTCACTCAGCTCATACGTTCTCATACATTCTCTCTGTGTTCCACCATGTTCTCATACGTTCTCTGTGTTCTCTCTGTGTTCCACCATGTTCTCATACGTTCTCATACGTTCTCTCTGTTCAGCATCATCGGTGCGGTCCGTACCGGTTCCTACATGTACCACATCCTGAGCTGCAGTGGTTTCAGGAGTTCCATCTGTGATCAGAGTTTCTACAGCGGACCGGTCAGCAGGTTCTGGGCGTACGCCTTCGTCCTCAGCAAAGCTCCGGAGCTCGGTGGGTTCTTCTCCTCGTCCTCATGTTCTCTGTTCGTTTTAAATGTCTGAGAATCAGTCTCATCTTCAGTCAGATTAATAAATGCTGATTAGATTGATTTGTTGTTTGTTTTTGTTGCAGGCGACGCAGCATTGTTTATTTTATATTTGTGTTTATTTACGTGTTGTTTATATTTGTTATTTTGTTGAAGGAGACACGTTATTTAGTTCTTTATATTTGTTGATTTATTTGTTTATATTAATTTATTTTATATTAGTTTGTTTGTTTGTTTACTGCAGGCGACACAGCTTTGTTTATTAGTTTATATTAGTTTGTTTGTTTATTGCAGGCGACACAGCGTTCGTCGTGCTCAGGAAGCAGAAGCTGCTCTTCCTCCACTGGTATCACCACATCACCGTGCTGCTGTACTCGTGGTACTCTTACAAAGACATGGTGGCCGGCGGCGGCTGGTTCATGACGATGAACTACACCGTGCACGCGCTCATGTACAGCTACTACGCGGTGCGCGCCGCCGGCCTGCGCGTGCCGCGGCCCTTCGCCGTGCTCATCACCAGCGCTCAGATGGCTCAGATGGCGATGGGGCTGACGGTGTGCGGGCTGGTGTACGGCTGGATGCAGCAGGGCGACTGCCACTCACACGTCAACAACATCGTGTGGGCGTCGCTCATGTACCTCAGCTACCTGCTGCTCTTCTCCAACTTCTTCTACCACACCTACCTGCGCCGCCACGCCCCCACCAAGACTGAGTAGGAGGGGCCTGGAGGCAGGACACGAGTGACGTCAGATGAACAAACGTGAGGAAACACGAGGCCACGTGTCATCAACATGACATCATCATGTTCGTTCTCTGATCGATCAGCCAAACACTGTTTTGAACAATCGCATAAAACAACAGTTTTATTTTGAGTTTTAAAGAATTGATCAAAAATCTATAAATTAGACCAATGAAGGCATCTGATTGGCTGCTGGACGAGTTCACGACGTCTCCTCTGTATTATTGTGCTCATGTAGCTCATGTTGCTCATGTTGCTCATGTTGCTCATGTGATTCATGTGATTCATGTTGTTCATGTGATTCATGTTGTTCATGTTGCTCATGTTCATGTGATTCATGTTGTTCATGTTGCTCATGTGGTTCATGTTGCTCATGTTGTTCATGTTCCTCATGTTGCTCATGTTGTTCATGTTGTTCATGTTGTTCATGTTGTTCATGTGATTCATGTGATTCATGTTGCTCATGTTGCTCATGTGATTCATGTGATTCATGTTGTTCATGTTGTTCATGTTGCTCATGTTGTTCATGTGATTCATGTTGTCGGTGTGTGATTGAGTTTCTGTCGGAGTTTGGAAAACAAACCTTCGGCTCTTCAAAGAAAACGGTGACGACAGGATTCTGGATGAAAACATCTGCAACATCTGTCTTTGAAGTTTGAGATGAAAAATATTTTTTTATTTATTGTTTGACGGAATAAAGAAAGTTTTTAATATTTATGCTTCGTTTTTTATTACGATAAGTTTCATGGAGTTCAAACACAAACAGTACGTAGACACACACGTTTATAAATATACAGCAGTTTGTGTAAACAAAGTGTGTTTTTAGTGTAACATGTTTTATTGACGCCTGAAACGTGTGTTGTGTATATGTGT